CGCCAGTTGAGGATTTTGGAGGAGATAATGTTGATTATTGGCCTTTTTTCAGAACAAATGAGATATTTGATAGTCTTAAAAAAGCTATTAACTATGCAGTCGATATGTCAACTATCTGTGGTTTTGAACTAATTATTTCAAAGCACTCAAAGGGAGGAACATTGAGGATTTTGAAGTGTAACCGAGGGGAACGTTATCGAGGTAATAAAATATCCAATCTTGTTAATGTTGTCCTGAGAAAGTCGAATACAAAATTTACCGGATGCCTGTTTGAGATGAAATTGAAAAAAGTGGCCGGTACGAAAGATTCCTGGAGTGTATGTTTTCCTCTGGATGACCGGAAGGGATACCATAATCATCCGATGGTTTTGTATCCCGAGGGTCATCGACAGTTCAGCGGATTGAGTGAAAAGGCGAGACAGATCGTCCGTGACATGACAGCTGCCCAGGCAAGACTGGCGGTAATATTGGCAATGATACAGGAGAAATACCTGTCTGACAACGCGGTTCGTCAGCAGGTTTACAACTATAGGGCTAAACGCCGATCAGAGAGTTTCGAGGGCAGAGATGTGACTTCTCAGCTTATGCATCTGGCTAGCCGGGCTAATTACATAGTTTTCACCGATTCTAATAAGGACACACACACCTTGACACGTGTGTTCATGTCGCATCCCCAGTCAGCCCTTCTCTTTCAGACATATTATTGGTACGTCGGTATAGATTCGACGTACAAAATCAACAGGTACGTTACTTTATAAATAACAGTTTAGTACGAATCTTAATTATTATGTCTGAGTATGTACATTTTTTTTATTCTTTGTTTGATTTTGTTGCCCTCATTTGCACAAGTACAAGATGCCGCTTGTGGAAATAATAGGGATGACGCTGTGCAAAAAGAATTTCTTGATTGCATATGCAATTGTGAAGGACGAGAGCCAGAACAGCTACGACTGGGTTCTGAAGAGTTTAAGAGATCTGATTGGGTCTGATGTACATCCTTCAGTCATTGTCACTGACAGGGAGATGGGGTTGATGAATCCTATTATGATTAATTTTCCGATGTCTGCCCATCTTCTTTGCACGTGGCACATCAACAAGGATGTGGAACAGAGGGTCTATAAAATCACCCACAAAAATAGTCAATTCGCCGAGATGTTCATGCGTGGTCGTTGGAAGAAGATCATTGAAGCGAGCACGGTGGTCGAGTATGACACTGCCGTGAAGGACATGCAGCTTCGGTACAAGAAGTTCCCTCTTGTTATACAGTACGTAGAGGATACGTGGTTAGTCCACAAGGAAAAAATTGTAAAAGCGTGGACGAATCACTTCCTGCATTTGGGTAACACCACGTCGTGTAGGGTGGAGAGTTCCCACAATGTGTTGAAGCAGTGGCTTAACATGTCCACCGGTTCTCTTGACATAGTGTGGGAGAAGGCTCACAAGGAGATTGAGTCCCAACACACTCAAATCAGGTACG